TGGTGTCCCATCAGGCCAGGTCCGGTGCGTTGCTGACTGGGATCTTGGCCTTAGCGCTGCCTGTGGTGAGTGAGACACGCGAGCAAGCGAGCGAGCGCCGATCCCTGACGGGGCTGGGAAAACCATCATCCACCCACACCCCTGCCCCGAACCCCCACCCCCAGCTCCCACACCTGGCAACTTCACAGCAGCACCGAACACCGGCTAATTGTTTTCATCTGCGTCCCGGTTGGGGTGGGATGAAGGTGCGTGAGGGATGACCTCATCACTCAAACACTGTACACACAGGGTCCAGATATTGTTTCTGTTATTTCTTTTGCTGCTAATCTTCCAGGTGTAAAGCCATGTGTTTGTACAGTATTAACACCATCGCATCATTGGTGCGTAGCTACATCCTTCATGTGACTGATCATCCTTCAACGTATAAATGTCAACATCTTAAACAGTCATATAGTGTTTGACTGTGTTTGGATGCCAATTTGCTCTCTGGCTGTATGTTTAGTATCCCCCCTTTATTCTTACTTAATGTATATCCTATTAGCTGTATCCTGTTATTTTCTGCTTAGTGATCCAATTTCCTCACAGGGGTCATTAAACTTTCATTTCACTTAATCTAATCTGAATAGCATTTACAAATATCATCCAGTTTGGGGGCACCAGCTGGAGTGTTAGCAACTCAATGAAAAGTATATTAAACTGACTTCCTGTGATTGTCTAAATTAAGGCCAACCTGACCCATCTGGTACTTCAAGCTGTTTGAATAACTGTAAACAACATATGGTGATCAATGACTGATTCAGCGTGAGAGAACTTTCTCGTCACGTTCTCTTACCGTGAATGGCTTGGCGGATCCCTTGTCGTCCTTGCCTGATATGATTTTGGCGTTCTGTCTGGTCTCCCTCAACCTCTCGATCGCAGGAGGCTTCACAAACACCACAAAGGGTTTAAACTCTGCCGTCCGCAGGTGCTTTATCGTCTGGACGGAGGAAAAGAAAAACAAATATGAATGTAAAAGCAAAGGAAGGATGTGAAACGATGCCATCAAGCAAAGAAGGCCATTAACCTAATGGCACTGCTACAAGAAAAGTCATTGTCATCGTGCTGACAATTCATTCAATAGTTGTTGAGATATTTCAGTCTGAACCAAAGTGATGGATGGAACGACCAACCGGCATTGCCACCTCTAAAACGATGCTGCTAATGTGGCTCAAATCTTAGCTCAAAGTCCACTTAGACTTTGGTTCTGGAGACTTCAGCTGTATCATGGAGTCCTTAGTTTGCTCAGTTTCCATGAACACGTAGATGTTCCAACTTTCCCTGATTCTGAGCACTTGCTCTAACTTTTACTTTATTATTAATTATAAAACTACTGAAATAATCTTTAGGCCTCTAACTCAAATCAATCTGAGATCGAGAAAGTACTATTTGGCTAAGCTGTCACATCTCATGACAATGGGTTAAGGTTGTCAATAGTATCAATATTAAGATACTTTTGTCTTTAAAACAATACGATATCTGTTAATAATATATTTGATAGTATGGAAAGTACCAAAGTTATAAAAACAAAACAGATCTACAATCAGAACTATGCCCTATTGCTGCTGTGTCAACCTGAATTTCTCCGAAGGGGGATAAATAAAGGAATATGTTATCTTATCTTATCCACGACTGAACTATTAGAGATTCATCATTTTATCAAAGGTTAAGATTCTGGTATCGTGACAACCTTACAATGGGTTACCGCATTTTAAGGGGTCATAAACCAAAAAGGTTGGGAACCACTGGTTTAATGTATGGGTGGGTGAAACAAAAAACAGGCCTCTGGTTATCTAGTGCATGTGGTTCTTTTAGAAGACAGTGGAGGATACATTCCTGTCTACATCTGCTCGGCCTTCTTGTCTCTTCTTTCTGGTGGCAACTGCATGAAACAACACCACCAATCTGGTTGTCAAGAGGTAGAAGAGAGGTCAGAGTTGGTTAGTGGTGGCGTCAGGCTTCAGGCTCTCCCATGGTTCTGGCACCGCGATCAGGGCTTCTCACTGTGCTAATAGGCAGTGGGTCCAAAACCACAACTGATAGGAAGATGGATAAAAACCCAAAGGAAGGGCCTGAGAAGAACCACTGGGAAGCTTTCATCGCAGCCGAGTCAGCATGGGAGCAATAACATGCTTTGACACTGCCACTGATCTGATCCATGAGTCATGTTGGAGAAGGGGCTCAAAGTAAAGGTAAGGGGGGATGAATATTGGCTTACACAAAACCACAAATGTATGCCAAAAACAAAAAAGCACATACCTAACTGTACATACACCCACATGAGCTTCCACAGGCTTTTTCTCACACACTTCAGCTGAGGGCTCTCAGGCTGAGTCGCATTGCCGCTCAAGCCGGGGTGGTTTGAGAAAATGCCAGCCTAATCTATATAATGGTGTATTTGTGCCTGTGTGTCATTATCCACTGAGTAAAAACAAACAGAGAGGAGCTGCTGGGGCAGAGGCTGGACGATACGGGCCTGGCCCTGGATTAATGGAAATTGTGCTCAGGGGGTTTGTCGGGGCTCAGTGACAAGCCGGCCATTTGTGTAGGGTCTGATCACCACCACCCAAGACACATAAGCCAAAAAGGAAATCTTCAAATGGAGGAAATTAGTGGTAATTGCTCCCTCAAAATGCCCCCTTTAAAACCCGCTTTGGTAACCCAGTAAGCAGCCAAGGCCCAGGGAAGAGAGAGAGAGATCTGCTTCCGAGATAGGTAAGGGCAGAGGTGCCAAAGGGCTAAAAATACAGAGAACAGGGAAGAGAGGGATGGTGGGATGCTGAGATTAGAATGGGATGGAGAGGAAGGGTTTGTGTCACTCACGTGAGGCTGGACATCCAATAGGCACACTTTGTTCTTGGAGAGGACGGATCGTATGGAGTCTAGACTTGTCCCGTAGTAGTTCCCTTTGTATTCGCCATACTCGATGAACCTGAGATGGAAAGAGAAGAGAAGATTGTTGAGCAAGAAAACACCTTTTCCAAACATCTTTGAGTGGGGATTAGCATCTAATACAACACTAATGTCCCTCGGGAGTAACATTAGAATCTCAGCCTAATCTGGTCGACTGTGTCAGCACACTCCTGAGATTCATCTTAGAAATAATGATATATAAAAACCCTACAAATCCACAGAGACAGGAGGATTACTCTTCCAACCGCTGACAGATCTGAAGATAGCATTCTCCAGCAGAACTTAAAAAACAGACATTTTGGCTGAGCATGTTTTTATATAATCTCCGACGCTACCCCATTCAATCAGTAACACCTGTTTGTTCCAGAAGAACCACAAAGCCCCCGAATGCCAAAACCTCCCCTCCTTTAATCCACCAGGGTTTTAGCCAAACGAGCAACCGCACAGGCGCAAGCAAACAAACACTTTTCCAACAGATAATCTTCCCCCTTTCACACCAATCAACTGTCATAAGAAAAAAAAAAAAACCACCAGCCAGTGTATTTTTAGCTGCAAACAAGAAGGAAAAAAGGGCAGCGAGGAGAGTAACGACGTGGAAAGAATCTGGAGCTAATAGGACTGCGTGGTATGCTTGCAGTCTGCTCATGACGAGTGTCGGACAGAATGACTGCCTCAGTGTGACTGATGCCATGTAAAAAGAGAGTTTTATGGTAATTGCCCATGTAAGAAAGTTTTACTCAGCATTTTTTTTAAAAGAAGGGAGACTTAAGCGTCTAACAAACCGGTTATATAAAATATTCGGTTATGGGAAATTCATTTAAGAGCTTACAGTAGCCTGTGTTCAGAAACTCACACCTTGCAGCGTTGCAGTCGTCAGAAGGTATATAGATTACAGGAAGCCATGCCAGTGGAGGTTCGGCTATATTGAGAGTATGGATTGTTGCCACTTTGACACAGAACAGGGCTTCCCTTGGGAAAGTTGTTCAAGCTAAACACACGTTGTTGTGGCCCCAATTCAGAGACCTTTTATTTCTGCACAGAGCGCATTGTTTCTGCTGCATGCAATGAGGCATAACGCAAACAAGTTCATCTCACTCCTCGTCTACTTTGCTGCCTTGTAATTTCAGCGTGGAGTGTCCCACGCATCCACCCCACATCACAGCTCTGTCACTCACCCCTCCGACTCCCTGAAAAACATTGCATGCCTCGACCTACACCGCAACATGGCCTAAATATACAGCCCCCCTTTTCCCTTCTTCTCTCTGCATGCTCTGACACTCCATATGCACTCACCACCACAGGCTTCCCTCTATGTCATAAGCGGTGCATGTGTGTGTGTTTGCGTGCGTAAATGTTTTGTGCGCCCTACAGTATATCTTTTTTCTCCTCTTTGCAGCTCGTGTGAGACCGGCAGAAAGGCATCAATCATTCTTATGACTATTACAACTTGCATTTCAATTTGTTGGCCGCAAATGTCAAGGCGGGCCGTGGTGTGGCTGGATTCAGAGAGAGCGCCTAAGGAAAGGAGGAAGCACAGACAGGAGACCTTGGGGCCACTGTCTGGAGATCCGTTACCAACACAGGGCCTGGCCCTGTCAACACCAGCTCACACTCAGTTACAGAGACACACAGACGACAGCAGGGAGGCTGTGTTTGAACAGTGGCAGCAAGTGCCGGACCAGAAAGACTGCTGCTCTCACCGCTGCACTGCCTCTTAGTGGTCCAGAGCACAGATAGATAGATGGGCGATGAGTCTCAAATCTCACACATTATGAACACAGTGTCTGTTAACCTTTGAAATAGTTAAAATGACATCAAACACTGTATACATGTGATTGGAATATATCTATGTAATCAGGGCTGAAAGATCAGTTTATTAATCCAATAGTTGGGGTAAGAAGTAGCAATTTTGATAATCAGTTTTTCGTTTAAGTAATTTATAAAGCAAAAATGTCAAATATTTGCTAGTTCTAGCTTCTCAGATGTGATGATTTGCTGCTTTTCCATTTTATATGTCATTGTAATTGAACCAATTAATTGACAAATTAAAAAAAAACTTTTTTAAATGATTATTTAGATGATTATCTAATGTTTTGAGACTCAAGTTATAATAATAATAGAAAAAGTCCTAATAGTTTGAGAATAAAGTCATAACATATTAAACAGTTTATGTGTTAAATGGGGTTGATGGAATGTGGGTGTGGGTTATACATTTCAAAAATAAGCACCACATTATCATAGAGCTGGGGATACTTAAATGAAATGAAACGTGATGAAGTGTGTGATGTATGAGTTGTATATCAGAGAGTGTATTAAAGCACAAAATACTTAACTACTACTACTACAGTGTGGCTGAATAACCACAGCATAGGGTAGAACCTGTTTAATGGTTCAATACTGGGATTTCCATGAATGTTTTGATTATAAAGCAGGTCTAGATGCTAATACTGTAAAAGTATCAAAATGTTCAATCCACGGACATATAAACAGCTAGTATTCAGAAACTGTGCCAGACAAAGAGACAAAACACAACACAGAATGTCCTGTTCTTGCTAGAGCTCTAGAGAGAAGTGTGAGAAAGGAGATTGAGATGGGTTTTGGTACTTAAAATAACAAATTTATTTAAAACTTCAAATAAAACACCAGAAAAGTCTAAAATATGGAAGCTTTAAACTTTGCTGTGTGCACCCTGTGCAGCAGAGGCAGGTTTTACGTTGTTTTAAGTCGTAAAAATTGACATCATGAATATCTGCAGTCCATGCCCAATGCATAAAGTTAAAATGTGAAAGTTGAACAGTGTGTTGGGTCTGTCATTAGTTTATTTCTTCACTTCTAGCAAACCTACTTGTTGTTGTGGATATCTGTCTCAAAGAGGTGTTTGGAGATGAAGTGGTACTCCACGCCGTCGGCCTCCTGGTTCCTCTTGGCCCGACTGGTGTCTGAGAGAGAGAGCAGAGGAGAAGCAGTGATTACCTCAAACCCAGACTGTCTGACTCACTGTTGGGGCTGAAAGCATCTGAACTGAGCCCCTTATTAACATCGCTGGAAGTCTGAAACACAGCACGCTGGGCCATGCCAACCCTTGTATATATTATTGTGTAATAGCACTATAAAATACACAACCTGTAGTGCTGCAGCACTAAACTCAGACACTTAACTGACATTCAGCAGAAGTTTACTGGCTCTTATTAAATTTGTCTCTTGTAATGTGGCTGCAGTGCCTGTAGAAACAGAAGCCGTAGCGTTAGCCTCCAGTGTTAGCCGCTGTAAGGTAATTGAGTTTGGGAGCTCTCATTAACATCAAGTCTCTACATTTACTTGGCAGTAAACCATAGAGCTTTGCTGTAAAATGGGTGGTGGGGGCAGCACGTGGAGGGAACGCGAGCAGACAAGGCTGGTGGATTTGCAAGGGTCAAGGGGTGGACTCACACTCCGGCTCATTTCAGGAGCGCTTCAAAGGTCAGAGGGGAGAGTTGCGCACCCGTCAGACACGCCGACCAGCTCCAAAACAAACTATTAAACTTTTATCACCTGCAACCAAAACTGCCAAGTTCTGCTTTACTCTCCTCTGAGTTGTTCTTTTCGTCAGCATGTGTTGAGGCTGTGCCCTGGTAGTGGACCAGTGCCTTTCCTTTGTATGGTCCAGACTGATCTACAGGGTTCATGGAAAACCAATGGTGTGATTTATACAATGTGTCACTCGCTTGAGAGGGAAAGACAGCCATAAATCCAACTGTGGTGGAGAAGACACTGAGGAAGATCAACGACTTTCTGTCATCAGCCCCAGACAACAGTAGGAAAAACACGAGGAGAAGGCCAAAACAGCCTTGTCATAAGATAACATATACTTATACCTCCCATTCAGAAACGTGTAAGACACAGTGCCAGACAGCCCCTTGGTAGTTAGACCAACACCATCCACCATGCGTTATTTTGGCATCTGTTTTGTGGCACAGAAAATAATTACAGTGCAACAAAAGAATGTGCATCCGTTCAATCCCAAATCATGGAAAATATCAGTAAACTTGGACTGGAATCAAAATGTTTAACCCCCTACTCTAATGGCTTATTGCAGTGCTCCTTGTGTTTCTTAGACGGCTGGTTTACATTTTACAGCGACAAGCAAAGAGAAAGGGAGAAAAAATAACCCAAATCTTAACCGGGGCCACAAGCCGGTGGTCTCCAAAGCTCCGGTTTTCAAATTAACAAAAAAGGGGTAACGCTTTCGGGCCTAATCCGAAACAACAGCAAGTGTTAAACACATCCATGTGTCCATTGGCAGCGATCAAACATTAAAAAAGAGGGAGACGAGATACTTTCCGAGTCTCTTTCCTCTCAATGAGAGCCAGGACTTGTGCCATACGTCCTCTATATGGGTCAGAATCAGGCTGTCTGGGCTCTATTAAACTTAGAATCACAGGTCACATTTGAGAACAATTAACATGCCTTGTGGAAAAAACGGCCCCACCGATGGGATTTTAATACCAGGGACATTTCAAGTGTCAGACTTCGACTGGGACACATCCATTATGCCACACGGCATGTAACAAACACAGTAATTAATATCAGTGGTCCTCATATTTCCTCAAACTCATGTCGCAGTTTCCCTCCAAGCCCCAGATGGTAACTAGGCAATTACTAATGCCACTGCCATGCTTAAATGTATAAATCAGAAAGATTTATTTGTCCCAACATGCTGGCTTTGGGACATCAGAACTGCAAAAAAGTGAAAAAGTTTGCAAGGCTCTGAGAGCCAGTCGTTTGCAGCAGGGCTGGATGGTGTTCAGAATTATGGCAAGCTGTCGTTGGGTCCTTAAAAGGAGAAAAAAAGGGAGGAGGCAGCGGGGAAAAGAGACAGAAAAAGACGGAAAGAAAGTGAGAAATAAACTGAGAAAGAAAGGAGAGTGGGTAGCTCAGTGCCAATTGGTGAAGCAGTGGAATGGCATGTCTTCAGGAGGTAGAAAAACGCACACTCCTCCATCATTGGGAGCTTGTCAGGCAGACTGTGAAAAGCTGACAATTACACAGGAGGAGAAACAACCGCCTGGGCCTTGAGAGGAGCAGCCGTGCTGCCTGAGAGCTGCCCTGGGTGTTACTCACTGCCAGACAGCTCCCTCTGTGTGTGCGTGTGTCTCAGACTGGACCTTCATCGCTCAAACAGAACAAGCACTCTCACACATTGCGAAAACTTAACTGGAGCAAGAAAGCTAAACATCCTTCACCTAAAGTGATTATTTTGATTTGTTGCTAAAAACTCACAGGGTGCACTGGGGCGCTGTGCTGTCGGAATTTGATCTGGCATCTCAAACGCTTACATTTCTCTGAGAATGTGTTTTCAATGTGTTTGTCTCGGCGGACAGATGTACAAGAGGCTTCTTGGGCACAAATTAATTCAAAAGAGTAGAGAGGGAGGCAACCTGTCCCCATGACAACACAGCTGTAGTGTCAGTTATTTAATGTCTGAGGAGGGCCCTTCCTCTGGAGACAGGTAACACTGATACATGATCAGTGTCTTCTTCTTCTTCTTGTTTGCTTATTTTATCTCTCTGAGCATCTTGCTGTTTACAGTAAGCTGTCCACACGTACACTGAGTGCTCACTTACAGCAAGATGTGTTTGTTTTCAATTAGAGAACAAGCCAGACTCCACTTACAGAATACAGAAATAAAGGTTTTTGGTTGGGCGTCCTGGTGGCTTAGTGGTTAAGACACATGCAATGTCCCTGGTTCAGTGGCTAGGGGTGATTCTTACATGTGATACACCTCTCTCTCCCCCATTTCCTTTCTGTATCTCTACTCACTATCAAAATAAAAGCAAAAATGCCCCAAAATAAGATCTTTTTTTTTTTAAATGTAACCAAATAAAAAGATAATAAATTTTATTTTGTCAACTTGCTCTTAATTTTTCTGTTCTAATTAAGATTAAGATAAGACAGAATGAGACAATAAAGGCAACTGACACTGCATTATTTTGAAGCAAAATGTTCCTTTTAAGTTTTGTAAGTCTAACATACAAGGTCCGTCAAAGTCTTCTTATTGTAGGTTGAACAGAATTACTGTATGTGCTGTTGTAGTTTTCTAATGTCCCACAGTCCACCGGGCTTTCTTATAAGCTGATCTAAAACTGTGGTCTGGTAAAAGGCTTATGGTGGACACAATGTGACAGCCGCACACGGATAAGAAAGGAGAAACATGCAGAGAGGAAGGATTGGAAGACGAATGCAACTTAACCTCAGTGGGATGAGTGAACTTACGTGGGATGGTCACACTGAAATGCTGGGGGTCTGAGATCAACAGTTTCCTCTTAAGTTCATTCAAGCCGATGCCTGTGGGACCTGCACAAACACAAACACATAAACATAGCATGAAAATGACAGAAGTCACAGAATATATCAAGACTAAGACAGATACTGCCATCAGAATGTTTTCCCCTCTCCAGTTAATGTGGAAAAGTCAAGTCAGTGTTACTGGGAATGAGACAATACAGTAGAACATGATAAAATATGTATCCCAATACCAACTTTACAAATTATGTTTTTTATGAAACTATAATCATAATACACCAATATGTATCAGATGTATTGTGCAATAACACAATTAAAATACAGTATTACTAACATGTTAAAGCAATTCAGCACTTCCATAAAGTTGAGGGTCTCAATAGACACAAAAAGGTCAGAATTGAATCTGCAGAGGCTGAGATATACTAACTTTTAGTTCTTGGTATGTATCAACTCCAAAAACACTGGACGCTACTCCTCCCATAATGCAACTTGATAGCTTCTTTCATTAAACCCTTCCGGCAAACCCCCACATCTTTCAAACTCCAAGACCCCAGCCTGTAACACAGACTTCCTGTTATAAATATGTAGTCTCAAGCCCAAGTCAATATACAGCAACCCTCATCACCAACAGGGTTGTTTTTCTCTTCAGAGCCACAGAACACACAAAGAAACAATTCCACACTCTCACTGGTTGAATAGCGCTCATGATGAGTTAACTGAACTTGATGTGTAAAATTGGTGGATTGTCCCTCTAAACAAAAGTAAAACCTACACTACAGTGCATTATAACAATACAACAGCACCTTATATATATTATCACTATAGGAGCTATGGTCTAAGAAGTAGTTACATATCTAACACTATTTTATTTTACATGCCTGTATGACCTATATATCACTATATACTGTAATATATTATATCGTACTTTTCAGTGAGATAGTATTTTCTTAAACGTTTTCTCCCTAATATTTTCTTTTCTTCTTTATTAATTTCATACAAATAAGTCTTATTTTTTTTTACCTTTAGTTTCTGTGCTGCTGTCATCTGAATTTTCCTTCTGGTATCAATACAGTTTTACCTTGTCTAATCTTAAACTGTTCTCTACCTTTCTGTGGCAGTGACTGTGCTTACTGTATTTCTAGACCAGTGTCACTGTTTTTTTTTTTCCAAGGAAGGGAAAATCTTTTTGTGTTTCTGTTATGCAATATTAAATCAATTTACCACAGTGTGAATTTAATTTCATATTCTATTAAAACACAATCAACCCAGTAAAAGCCTGTTGAAGCAAAGATAATTGATTTAATATGATGAAGCTCCAGGAATCCTACAGTTACAGTTAGTTTTGAACCAGTTCCTGTCTCATTGTAGTTTGGCAGAACCTTTAATAAAGGTACACAGACGAGGTAAGGAAGCCATTTCCCATATTGTTGCAAGTCAGCTGGATTTTCCATCACATCCTGAGTGGGGAAACTGAGGCAATGAGTTGGAGAGGGGAAGACAGGAGAGACTATTGGAGTATTGACTATTGATCCATCTCTGGCTCCACAAGCTGAGCGGCTGTCCAGCATTTAATAGCCAACTCACCAACAAATGAATTTAAATCTGCAGTAGGTAATTTAAAAAAATATATTATTTTTTTGTCATATTTGCTGAAACTTTCACTATATCCTGACAGTAGCATATGAGACAGATAATCTGTGAAAAAATCAGGTTCCTCTGGCTCGTTCTAGTGCGCGTAATTGCATTTGCAAGAATCCACCGGACCTGAACGAAAACAACCAATCAGAGCCAAGAAAGATAGTTGTTTGTTGATTCTCAGCACAA